AATAGTTCCTTCTGATCACTGATCAAGCTGGAATCGCTCAGCAATGTGTAGTAGACCTTGCTGTTGATTTTACTCTAACCTAAAATCCAGGAAATCTTGTTAGACCTTTCCTTCAGTTACTCTGTGTATTACAGCTTGAATGCTAATTATATTTTTATTTAACATTATAATATAAGGAACTTTCTAAAGAAGGGAGGGCTGGGGGAACAGAGAGGCCCTCAGAAGACAATGGGAAAGGAAGATTCTTTCCAAAAAGTCTTTTTTTTTTTTCAACCGAAAAAAAGACAATGCCCTCATTTTTTTCATTCAGTGCCAGGCACTGTTATGTGCTGAGGATGGAGGGTGTATAGGTCTCTGCCCTTGAAGAACTGAAGTTCTAGCAAAGGAAAAACTGGAAAGAACCAAGGTTAAGTCATTCTCCATGTTCTGGAGGCTCCAGAGAGGATTTGGTAAATGTGAGTTTCTCAGGCCAGGACGAGGCTCAGATGAATGAGAGTTACTCTGAGGCCGGTGACTTCCCGGCAGGTGGCTTGAGGGAGATCAAAAACCAGAAGACTGGCAGGGTGGGCCTGTACCAGTGGAGGGGGCGAGGGTTGGACAGAGACCCAGTTAAAAATGGTTCCCTACCAGCGCCAAGGTTCCCTGCACAGTGCAGTCCTGCGGACCTGGGTGGCTGATGATGGGGACGTGAATGCTGAGGGCTCTTCTGCCGGCTCAAGAGGGAAATCAAGCTCTGTGGTTGCTGAGGCAAATGGGTTTTAGAGTCACTCGGTGGCTCACAGATTTACGTATCGTCTACCTTCTTAATAGCAATCAATGTGTCATTTGCCGTTTGTGTTAATTAAACTTTTAAATAAAACTTTGGGTTACGAGTGCTTATCTCATATTTCAGACATTCCCAGGAGTGCTTACAAAGGGCCTCGGAGTTGAAAAAATATGCCATTTGGCAATATTCCACAAAACTAATTACCATAAAGAAGTCGTGAAATTTTGCACAGGGGGGCTTGCTACAAATATTTGAACCAGTTCAGAAGATAATTTGCCTTAGTTTTGTCAGATTCTCAATGTATCCAGCCCCCAACTCCCACATGAAACCGGAGACCGTCAATCACTTTGCCTTCCCAAGCGTCCAGCCATATGAACTTGCCCCTTCAAATCTGACTTCCTTCTGGGACTCCGTGAAAGTGTAGATGCTAACACCATGAAATAGGAAAACATATTTTTCTTCGTTCTTTAGAACAGAGTCACCAACGTAAAATATTCCAGTGAAGCTTGAAATTCAGGACAAGCTTTCTGTGTCATCTTTTGAGACAGAAAACACTAGCACCATGTCAGCCACTGGAGTGTAAGCCCCTTAAGGGTAAGGATTTTATCCGTTTTGTTTAGCTCAATGATTTTTCCAGTGCCCACAGTATTTATTCAATAAAAGAATAGAAGGATTACATACCATTTCACACCCAAGAATAGCAAAACCAATTTAAAACAAAAATGAATACTGAAAGGGGGGGGGCACTTTTCTAGTAAAAGGAAGAAAGATGCATTTCTCAGTATATGACTTACAGCTGCCTGTACTGAAAGTATACCTATGTGGCCCTTAGAACAGGCCAGGACAAATGTCCCAGGTCTCATAATTTGAAAGTCTCTGGACAGCTACCTGTGTCTCTTTTCTGAACCACATTCTACTATCTGGCCATGTTCAGAAGAACGCACATGACCCATGATGCTGATCAGAGAGGTAGTCTCTTCTCTCTGTTAAGCCCGAGCCATGGGGATTTTGAGTATCAGGGGACCAGTGGGAGGCACATTGAGAAAGAAAACCATTGGTCATTGTTCATAAAAAAGGTGATGGGTCACAGCTTCCTCTTTCTCATGGTCTTCTGTCTTGGTTCTTCGATTCCTTATAAACACTTAATCTGAAAATACTAACATTATTTTTGTTGTTGTTCTTCAGATTTAATTTGGTTCTAGGTGTCTGGGAAGGGTTTGAGATTTCCTGCCTTGTAAGGGACCCCCAGTAAAGCATTCATCGAGGCCCACCCAGGTACCAAGATGGTGACTCCATCAGTCCCAATCGTCAGCCATGCATTGATGCCCAGAGGAAAACTGTTTCAGGAAAAACTGGATTTCTGTTACTGAGCCTATAAGTATAATTTTCTGAGTTTTCTTCTTTGGAAAACAAAGATGTACCTCTGGTATTTGATAAACAGCAAAAGCATTTGGCTTAATTTTAATTTTGTTCTCATGAGCTTCCTTGAGACCAATAAGAAATTCTTGAATTGAAAATCAAGGGTTGAATTGAGGCTCTTGGGCTACTCAGTACTGTGGGAGTGTAGCTTGCACTTTGCCAGGGTGAGGAGCAGAGTCAGTGATCCTCAGCACGTTTGAGCCCAAGTCTGGGTTAGTGAGAGTGTGAAAGGATCCTACCAGTTTTAGACTTTAACCACTCAGTCTGTACTTGCCTCTCTGTTCTGACAGGTAGCCTGTCTCTACTTACCTCCCCCAAGATGTCCATCCCATATAGCAGTGATTGCAAACTGGCAGCCCACAGAGTGTTTTGCTTGGCTTGCCTGGTGTTTAGATGTTTGTTAAATGTAACCTGTAGCATTTCAAAATTGGGAGAGTCCTCAGAGATTTCTAGAATTCTGGCTTCTCCTGAAAATCGGTTATTTACACTGGTTCTGTATTCCTGCAGACATTAATAGCCTGGAATGTAGTAGCCACTCCCCCATGTAGACAAAGCACATGATTTCCAGCTCACCACAGTGTCCATCCAGGTGGCTTTTCATTCATCATGTTGACTCTGTGTGCCTTGGGGTCCCTGACTTCTGTCCCGGAACCCCTCCTCATTGGCTTGACACCATGAGAAATCAGCTCTTTTTTTTTTTTTAAAGGGAATCTCACCTTCACTTCTTCCTGCTATTGTTCATGTTTCCTTCATTCTCCTCATTTGCGTCTCCACAATCTATTGACACTAGTTCATTTGAGTCAAATATTGTTTGGGCTCTCATAGAATCTCCATTTTTCAATAGGTCCTACATAGTTGGGGCAGGAACAAGGAATGAATATGCTCTCCACACAAGCATTAGTAGCTCATTTAGACAAAGTGGAAACATAGACAGTTGAGGCACATGAACATAGGTGAGGTGATAAATAGATCAGGAAGAGCACTCTTGCCCAGCTGTGGAACCCTATCCACTTGCAGAGAGATGCGTCTTATTTGCCACTGGTGAGCTGGTTCTGCCTCTGCTGAGAGGACCATGGAGGGCCTCTCTAACCTTCTGTGCAGTTAGGCCTGACTTGGGAGGAGCAGAATATATAATTGTTCATACGGGAACTGAGTCTAATATCTTTGATTGTTAATAGCATCAGAGCAAACTTCTGAAAGCTCCTATGAGTTTTCTGGACTCACATGTTGTTTGTTGTGCTTAGCTCAAATCCTAGGAAAGCTAACATTTACTTTACATTCATATTCAAAGTATATTGGGATTATGGTTGCTTTTGGGTGGCCTCCTCCAGCTTGGACAGGACTCACTCAGGTCTTAGGAGAGAGATGATCTTACTTCTGAATGATCAGATTTCCACTTGCAGATGAATAATAGGACTCCCTTCAACAGGACCTCTCAGGAAATTTAAATTTTTTTAAATACACATATATACACACATATGCATTCACATGTACACATACACACATATATAGATTCAGAGAGAAATAAATGGGGAAATGTAGTGTGTATTACATTAAAGCCATTTACAATGGGCATTTGTCTGTCCCTTGTCACAAGTGATGGTAGCGAGTGTGTGCTTGACCATCTTACTGAGCATCTCCATGAAGCAGAAGAAGCTGGTCTTTTGCACTGGGCTTCACTCTCTCCCTAGTTGTTTCATACCAATAGACGGTGGCCTGAGCCACCTACATTCACTGGGCAAATCCATTATTAGTTGGGGGAAGAGGAATAATTTAAAGTGAAATAAAGGACAACACAAATCTTTAACACAATTCAAACACTACTCCACTTTCTGAAAGTCTAATCTTTTAAACTGTGGTTTTTTCAAATCTTAACCCTAGTAAAGGGTGACTTAGGAGTGGCATCAGAACCATCACATCACACAGAAGGATTTTTCCTGATGCTATTTCTAGCCTGGTTGGAAACCTGAAACTTTAGAAATCTACCAAGACTATCTAATTTTGGTAGGTTTTTTTTTCCCCCATATTGAGGCTTGTGGGTTTGAATAAAAGTCAGAGAAATCTATGGTAACATCTCAATATGTACATTTTTCATATAAAAATACTGTGAGAAAGAGAGAATGGGGCTGCAAATGTATTAAGGGGGGAGAAAAGGTGATTCCAGTTTTTCACAAGTTCAGATGGTTTTAGTCCTTTTGCAAAGTTACATTGCAATTGAAAGTGAAACAATTCAGATTGCCTTAGCCATGTGAGGTGGTACATGCAGTTCACGTTCAACCTGTATTCCTTGAATTGGTCTAGGTTTCCACAGGAAACAGAGAGCAGTGAAACCAAAGTAAGAAATAGAGACTAGGCTCAATACTGGGATTCAGACAGAGCCTTCACTGGTAAAATAAAACCCCCTTGTACTGAGTACTAGGACCCTGCACTTCACAAAATGGACTTATTCCTAAGACTTACATACAACCGAATAGAAAGGGATTTGGCGAAAGGGATTCATATGGGGAAACAACTGAAAGAATCCTTTGTGGTTAGTTTGCAGAGATTCCTTGGCAAAGCAAATAACCCCTGGTTAATTTGGTTATTTTGTAAGCCCAAATTTTCTTATGATACGAGTTCTTAAAGACGACACAACTGTTGTTTATGGATCCAAGTGGGTCACTTGAAAGGTGAAGTTTGTATCTTGGTTAATTTCTTATTGTTTATCTGTTTTGTGAGGATTTGCTACTCTATTTCTAAAACCCAGTTAAGAGCTGCTTGCTCCTCATCTGGCATCATAGCTATTGTGTAAATAAGTTTTATTTTTGATTTTTAGGAATTTCCTTTGTGGCGTACGGCCTCAAGAAAAGATGACAAACACTTCAATTAGCCTTCCCTCCAATCACCATTCGGGGAGAAGTGTGTGGGGAGAAATTCTCCGACCTCAGTGGAAAACATCGCGGGCGGGCAGGGAGCAGCTGGCAGAGCATCGACACGGTTCACAAACACGCTAGAGGCACTGGCTGTGACAGACAAAGCCTGCCTTTTGGGGAAGACACGTGAAGCCCACTCCTCTAAGTGTTTCCTCTGGAGTCACACCACAGGGCTGTCTTCTTCTTTGCTTTCAGCCACAGCCGCTGACTTGAGGAGATGTGTCAGCTTTGTCTTTCCTGCTGCAGAGCTCATTCGGCTGCTGGGCCATCTTTCGGGACTGGGCACCTGAAGATGGATGTGGCGAGGAAGGAACTGGAGAGCGCAGACAGGCAGGCATCTGAGAAGTCGGCCTCCTGGGCCAGGTGCTCGAAGATGAAGGGCTCGCTTCCCGCACATGCGGTTGTGCCACCTCGGCCATCCCGGTGAGGCCCAACGCGGATTTTCAGGTGAGCGGCTGAAACCACTCGTTTGTGCAGTTCAGCTAATACCCTATTATCTGACAGAATGAAAATGAGGGGAGAAGAGGGGGAAGGAGACCCTCTACTCAGAAGTATGCCTTTTGCTCAATCAACATTCTCATTTATGAAGTGACGATGAGGTTATTCATCCCAAGTGATAGCAGAAGGATAAATAAAAGCAACATATGCAAAAAAGTCCACCAGGGCTCCGGCCCACAGAAGATACGCGGTCACCTGGTGTGAATCTAAACCTCGCTCCTGGTGCCGGAGCCAGTCGCAGCCTGCGGGGGCAGGGGCAGCTCCAGGGCTTGGCGGGAAGCCCATCGTCACTTCCAGCTGCACCAGTTCCCACAGTCACATGTGTGACCCTGTGCCCGAGGCGGCCATCCCGACTGAGTCCAGCATGCTAGTTACTAAGCCGAGTGCCTCTCAGCTTCAGATCCATCCTTCTGTTCTCCAGTCTGGGACTCTGGAAACGGCATTTTTCTCTTGATAGCTGGTTCTCTGTGAGAATCAGCCCGTAGAGAAAACTAGAGGAAGACAGGAAGGCGGGAAGAGGAGAGCACATCCGTGCACGTGGTTCCCGACGCCAGCTTGCCCCTGCGCGCCCCACAGCAGCCTCCGTGTCCGCGCCGCCCCAGCACAGACGTCAGCACCAGCCGGCCGTGCCCCTTCTCAGGTGTCCGAGTGCCAGCTCCGTGGAATGTCTCCTCAAGTTTCTAGGTTCTGATAACCCTGTGTTCTCCCTGTGTTTTCCTCACCTGAGAAACGATGGGGGCTTTCCGTAGTTAACATTGCTACATTATTGTGGTGTGCCCTTTTTGCCTTTTTACTTCTTGAGCCCTTAGAGTACTGTACACACCCTGATGCATGTTGCTTTTTGCACATTACACTGTATCTTGCAGGTATTTGTGCATAGAGGCCTTCCTCAGTTCATTATATTAGCTGCATAGAATTTCTTTAGGTTGATGTCTCTGCGTAGAATTTCTTTAGGTTGATGTGTCATTATTTAACTAGTCTCTTATTGGTGGACGTTTGGTTTATTTCAGTATTTCGCCAGTTCACACAATGCTTCAATGAATGACACAGCAACGTTACATACCCATACATCATTTTGCATACGTGCAAGTTTATCTGTAGGACACATTTTCTGAAGTGACCTTGCCAGGATCTAAGAAGGACATACTCATTTGGATGTTGCCAAACTGCCCTCCGCAGGGACTGTACCAGTTTACACTCATGCTAACAACATATGGGAATATCTGCTTCCCCTCAGCTTCCCCAGCAGAGTGTTATAAATCACTTCTGGAGTCAATAAAGTGAGTCTTTCATTGAGCCTCTGAGGTCATGGCTGTGATATTTAAAAGACTCTCTTTTATAGGCCTTAAAAATCTAGGCTACTTTGCTGATCCATAAATGATCTCTTTCTCCTCAGACAGCTTAGGGTTCACAGGGAGCACTGTACTTTCTCTTAGGCCCATCTTCTTTGCTATCTCAGCACAGAGGTGAGGCTTAGAGCCAGGCAGCACAGGGCTCAGAACTCTAGATTAGAAGTCGAAAGCCTGAGGGTGTCTCTGGAGGTAAGTTTGACCTCCTCCACGTCCTTACCTCCAGATTCCATTTCAGTGTTATCCTGTAAGATTTTTACTTCAGAGAATTTGATCTTACTTTACAGGCGGTAGGGGCCTGTTGAAAGGTTTCCTCTGGGGAGTGGACAGGGAGAATGGACTGATTGGGGAGTAGCTTGAGCCTGGGTGGTGGGGACCCAGGTGGTTCCCGATGGAGGCCTGATGAAGGCAGTGCAGCAGCTGTGAGCTGGAGAGACCCCCCCCAAGAGATGGAGACATGGAGACCAGCTGATAGAATAGGGGAGACAGGGGATGTGAGGAGGAGGGGAGAAGTTACAGATCATGCCAAGACATTTAGCTTGATGTAGTTGGTGAATAATGAATAGGAAAGAAGGAGTACGTGTGAGGTTGAAAAAAAAAAAAGTTTTAAACGTCTATTTACATTTTTGACTTGTTTTTCCTAGCTTTTCAAATGAAAAATTTTAAACACACAAGAACGTTGACAAAGTAAATTGAATTTTCCTACACGTATCATCTAAACGAAAAAGTTATTGATCCTTTGCCATATTTGATTTATACACATTTATATACATACACCTTTGTTTCTGCAGAAACATTTGAAAGTAAGTTGCAGGCACCATGGAAATTTATCCCTAAATTCAACATACGTCTCCCAAGAATAAGAACATTCTCTTCCATAAACACAATACCATTACCACATCTAAGAAAATTTACACTATTTCTCTAATGTTATCTAGTTTAAAGCCCATGTTCAAATTTCCCAGATTTCACCAGAAATATCTTTTATAGTTGGTTGTTTAAAGCATTTTCAATCAAGTTTCATGCATTGCATTTGGTTGTCTCTCTTTAGTCGTTTCATTCTAGAACATTCTCCATTTTCCAAATGATATTGACTGTCATTTATTGTGTTTTTTAAGGGACCAGGCACTTGTCTTAGAGAGGTCTCACAATCTGGATTTGCCTGATTGTTAGTGTGTGGCATCATTCAACTTGGTTCTCTGTGTGTTTTTATGTAACAGAAAGTTGGGTTCTAAAGACTTGATTATGTTCAGGTTAAATGTCTTTGACAACAATAATTTACAGGCAATGCTGTATTTTATATTTTATCCCATCAGCAAAGGTATAATGTCAGGTTGTTGCACGGCCTGTGGAACGACACTACATTTGATTCGTTGATGTGATGGTCATTGTATCACTCCATTGTAAAGATACGTTTCCCCTTTGTAATTAGCAAATGGTCTGTGGAGGTGGTAGTTTGGCACCTATGTATATATTTTAGTACCTGTCTAGCCTTCATTGTAACTTGCATTTTGGAAAGCTGACCTGTGGGACACTAGGTGAGGTTGTCCAGTGGGGAACCAGCGGAACTTATAGAACTGAGGTTCAGGGACAGGACTGGAAGCCACTAGTGTCAGAAGGATGGCTGAAGCCAGTGAAGAAGCTGAGCTCAACCAGAAAGGCGCTCAGAGAAGGGACAGAGACTAGGGGTGAGCAGGGGAAGCAGAGCCAGCAAGAGACCCGAGTGGGGACTGAAATACTGAGCAAGAATATGAACACACAAGCCTGGGAGATTTCAGGTGGGGTGCAGCAAGGGAGCAACTACACCTAACCCTGCCAGGGGTCTGAAGGAGGTCATGGGATGTGGAAAACCACCGTAACATTCTTAGTAGATTGTTGAGCACAGAATCTGCTTGACAACAGCGGCAAGGTCTGAATTGGGCAAAGGCCACCACTTTTCAAGAATTGGATGCGGGGCAGAGACAGAGTAAAAGTGCATCTTCAGAAATAAGGGAATGTGGTCATGGAGAAGATTTTCTTTTGCTTGCTTATTCATTTGTAGGATGCAGTATATTCTATCCTATTTGAGGACCAAAAGCCAGGAACCTGTGGAGAAGGAGAGGACTATAGAGGTAAGGGGATAATTTACAGGTCATGGCCAGAGGAGAGAAGAGGGGACATGATCAAAGACACAGGGGTTTCGCCTTTGGAAAGAACTCTCCTGTTCAAGATGAGAGTTGTACGTGAGGATGGAGGCAAATGTTTGGATGTGCTGGGGAGAGAAGATGGAGGAGTTCTTGCCTGATGGCCTCGATTTCCTCAGCGAGGTAGTAGATTATCTCTTCTTCCAAGACAGCAGGTGTCGGGGTTCAGGGCCTCGAAGAGAGTGGAGGGTTTTGAACAGCTGCTGTTGAGAATGGGAAGGGGAGCTGACACATGTCCAAGCAATAGCAGGGAAGATGGTGAAGAGCCCACCAAAAACGCCAGTGGAAGGGCCGTTCCTTATACATCTGTAGCTCATTAAGAAGACCACAGCTTCCTAAGTGGGCCTCGTTTGCTTCACATCTGCCAATGCCATAGGTTGAAAAAGTAGCGTCAGTGGTGCCTGGAAGCCAGCATGCCCTCCGTGTCTGACAAACCCGCCTCAGATGGACGGTCCCCCGCCCCTCCTCCAGGGCCGGAGAGATGCCTGAGAAGTCCCATCACAGAGACCCGTTGTGGCAGGTCAGAACCCACCAAAAATATTCCTCCTGTGCATTATTTATGACTTTCCTGCATTTATATAATATCCAGCTTCCTGAAAGTAATTTGTTTTGGATTGTGTAGTGCTGGGCAGCACATCAAAGGTATGCTAAGCAGTGGTAATAAAACATTGAGGTTTATGGTCACTGAGGTATTAAATATTGCTCATAAATTACAGGGTGAGTATTTTAAATGAGCTATGGCTCGGGGAACAGTAGGCGCCCCATCTCTGCACATATTAATTGCTGGTGCCTAGCTTATTAATTATCAATAGTTTCAAAGGCTTTGTTGCTGTTGTTTTCTTAAGGAACCACTCTCTGTCCTTACTATGGCTCTGTGAGTGTGCATGAGTGGGTGTGTTGTGTGTGTAAGCTGGCATTAAGCATGATAAAAATGGGAGGCTACTTTGGGATACTGTAGAGTCTGATGGCCTTCCATTTAAAAATCCAGTAGCCCTCCATTTCTACCACTGGCACGCTGGTCGCCGCTTCCTAACAAGGCATGCTGCTTACTGCTTTGAACTCCAAGTGGCAAAGTCAGAAGGACGGTACCGTTCTGTTTCACTTCAGGTTCCAGTCGGTTTGGCTTTCTGGTTCTAAGGTTCTATCCTGGTGATTCCCGCCCCTTTCTGCCAAATCATACTCTGCTGGCAACTGACTATGAATTTCACAGACTCCCTTTTAGTTTGAAGACTCCGATGTCTTTCTTTGTCCACCCACCTCTAGCAATGCCTTATCATCATAGCCTCTGAGTTCCTACCTTCTCGCCAGCATGAGCCTCTGCGTATTTCCTCTCAGATGAGTTTCTTCAGTTTCTTGTGTTTAATTATCCAATCTTGAAACTACCAAGGAATCCCAGAGGACAAGCAAGCACCGAACCTGGAAGGGGGCTGTTATTTTAGTAGAACAGAATGGCTCACACTTCGGGAGCTTAACAATTTGGAATAGACATTCCAGAAACAGAGTCAACACAAAGGTATGGAACCTTCAGGGATTCTCCCCAGCTTTGTTTGCCTAGTGGGAGATTAGAGCTGTAATAGGCAGTTGAGAGGTTAAGGAAGTAAGTGGCTGAGCACGTACTCCAGGCTAGACTCCTGTCATTCAGTGGCGTTGGCCCTTGCTGGTCAGCACTTCTGCTGCAGGTGGTTCTGTGTAGCTACCTTTGTCCAGCAAGGCTATGCTATACTTTTTCAGTTTGATTTCAACCATGTGAAAAGACGAACCCCAGGGAGAAAAGGTAGGTGGACATAGGTTCCGAGGACTGTAAGTTAGACCTGCTGTGTCCAGTGTGGTAGCCAAGAGCCACATGTGACTGGCGAGCTCTTGCAATGTTGTGAGACTAAGGAACTAAATTTGTCATCTTATTTCATTTCAATTAATTAAAATTTAAATTTGAAAACAAGTACTCGATTCAGTTATTAGAAAACGTGTATGTTTGAGATAAGTTGGGTACGTGAATCTATCCTTGCAATTTTAAATTTTATGAAATCTAAATACAGAGCAAGTATTTCTAATGAAAATTTATCATCCAACTAGAGATGCACTCTAACTGTAGAATGCACACCAGATTTTAAAGACTTCGTGTAAAAAAGGCAAAATATCTTATTTACCTATAGAATATTTTGACTATGTTTAGTTAAATGATATCTGTTATCAAAATTAATTTTACCCACTTATTTTTAACTTTTTATATGACTACTAGAAAATTTTAAATTACATATGTGGTTCCCATTATGTTTCAAGTGGATAGCTCTGGGTTAAAACAGATATTTCTTGGAGGGGTATGGGGACCCTTGAATTTTTCAGAAATCTCAGTTGTAGAAATTACTTGGCACTAGTAGGGTGAGTTTCAAGAAAGTGCTGAACAACTTAAGAGAAACTGCCAAGACTGGGAATTCAGACTCGACACACAGATTAAGAGTTTGAATTTCTCTATAATAATAACCACCAGTCATCTTCTTTTGAATATTTTAAAATTTTATGTAAAAGATATTTTTCCTGTATGTTTCCATAGCTTTTTTTTCCTTTTTTCTTTTTGTCCTAAACATTATGTTTTTTGAGAGTTCTCCACAGAGATCCAGAGTAATACTTGTAGCTCTAGTTAATTCAATTTCACTGCTGGATAGTGCCTAGTATGCCATATATGAATACACTCTTTCTTTCTTTCTTTACTTTTCTTTACCTTTTTTCCTTCTTTCTTTTTCTTTCCTTCTTTCTTTCCTTTCTT